TTAGCACTATTTTGTGCTTTTTACGGGGGGAGGGAGGGGTTACCCTTTTTCTTTTTTTCTTTTTTTTGTTTTTGTTTTGTTTTCCCAGTCTGGGCCTTTTTAACTAAGACCTTAAACCAAAGCTTCAAGTAAGGGATTATGCCCAAAATCCTGGGCTTCCAATCCTGTCAGACCTGTCACAGGTGTTTTTCTCCAACCGTGATGGACAATTGAGCTCCCCACCCCCATATAAAATCCATTTAAAATTTAAAAGTACATCTGAAAAAACTGAGGGGACAAGGTAAAACTCCTGTTGATGGAGTGTTCCCTGTGACCTAGGGGGTCGAAGTCACCTCCCTGTAAATTGGATGTAGTTGCTCAGAGAGCCCCTGCAACTGAATCACTGCTGCTGTGGTAAGCAAAGACCCGAGGGATCCATAAGAAGCACCCAGACTGTTCAAAAAAGACCCTGTTCTGAGGAATAGGATAAGAGAAGGGGAAAGTTGCCCTTTTGGTCTGGATCTTGGGAGACCCTGTGTCCTGACAAGGGTACCACTGTGGCCCCTGATTCATCATCAACTAGAAAATCATGCCATATACTGAGAAGCTGTCTATTAAATTGTAGTGGCACTGAAGTCCGCACTGTGCCCAGTGCTTCTGAAGCACAGTGACTCTAAGGTTAAGCCAAAAATGTCATCGGTACCACCTTCCCTACCCAGCAGAGAAGAGCACACAGATTGCACTTTAGTACCATCTCCCGTATCACCCGATGTACTAATGCTTGAGGTCCTTATCTGGAGTACCCAATACTGTCCAGCTCCTTTTCCACAAGGATCTTTGGATCCTGGAAGAACGTGAGTCACCATTGCTTAAGAAGGGTATCAAGAGAGACCTTCTCTTGTACTGACTTGACCTACCATCTAGTATCAATGCAGTCACTGATTCCACACAAACCTATTGTGGTTACTGAGAGGCATTTCTGATTGACATATTCTCTGGTACTGTCTCACTACCAACCAGATTGAGCCTCCAGTTCCTGTGTGGATACCCTATTATTAGATACCCTCTGGTCGTCCATACCCACTTGACCGCCGGTATCAGCACCACTTGCCCCTCCAGTGGATGTGGTAGATGACAACTCATCTGATTGAGGTGTCTATAAAAGGCCCTTCTATTTTCCCATTTCATCCATCCTCAGCGCGGTGCAGCCTGATGAAGCTATTCCCTGCAGGACATATATCCAGCAAACCTGGCAAGAACAAGCCTGGGATCCTGTCCCCTTCCATTATGTCCCTCTTCAATGGGCTTATTGGTCCCTTATAGCAACCTGCTCTACAGGGTCCCATCAAGGACATGTCAAAAGCAACAACTGCTGTCCTAGGATCCTGTTCCACAAGAGGAACTTGTAGATGAACAGGAGCCATCAGGAGAAGAACCAGCACCACCTTCCTCCCTGCTGGACAAGACTATTATGCTTCTGTCAGATTCTGGGGTAGCCACCACCTGCTCTGTAACCGTGTGTGCCTCATAATGCTTTGCTGCTGTAACTCCCAACTTGGACTCCTCACCAACAGCCAAACAGCATGCTTGGTAACAAGGTACATGTCTGTGTTTAGCTGCCAGCAAACTCCAGTCAACACTTTGGCTTCCATCAGCCTTACTTGTCACTTGCAGGGTGACCCCAACACACCGCCAGTTCCAGATTTTCCCCAAAAATGTGTGTTCTGCATTGTCCAGTACTCTACTAGACAGTTCAGGTACTAGAGGTCAATTGCCCCTGTAAGGGGTCAGTATATACAACAGTTTACTTCTTTAATTTGCATTACCAAACAATTCAGTTTAAACACAACGCTGGATTAAATACATCAGAGCCCACAAACCACAGCAAGGGCTTGCCTCTAACTCCTGAGCCATATGGCAGTCTGTACATTTGTGGCACTCTTAGCAGGACTACACTCCTGGTGTCTTTGCACCTGGATGAGAATAGTCTACACCATGCACACTCTGTCCAAATGGGTGTCCATACCTCAAAGTGTCCTCGATTCTGTAAATTGGTGGAAGGATCCACCAAAGGTGTGTATGGGAGTTATGTTCTTGCATCCTCATCCCATGAGGATCATCACTACAGAAGCCTCCCAATGATGTGCACTTTCAGAACGTCACCGCTCAGGACAAATGGACTCCTAAGGAAGTGATCCTTCATCTTATCAAGCTCAACATGGTTTGTTATGCTTGCCAGCACTTCCTGACCCACATCAGGGGCTGCCCCATCAGAATAAAACTGCTGCATATTACACCACAAACAGATCTCAGAGGTTTATCTACCAGGACTGCAGAACGCAGTGGCGAACTCCCTCAGCTGGCACTTCCATCTCAGTCCTGAGTGGGAGCTGAACAGCAACATGTTCTGAGGATGTTTTTTACCTGGGTTGATCTGGAGATGGCTGTCTCTGCGACACCATCCAATACAAAGTGCAGATGATTCTGTTCGAGAGGAGGGCACAGCCGCAACTCAACAGGAGATGCTCTAGTCATTCCTTGGCCTCGAATGTTGCTATAGGCTTATCCCTCAAGGCCATTACTGCTCAAGGTCCTAAACCAATTGAAACAGGAGAAATTAGTAGCCATCCTCATAGCACTGCTGTGGCAGAGAGAGGTGTGGTTACCAGAGCATGTGTGCATGTCTTGACAGCTGCTTCTCCATCTTCTGGTGGCAGCAGAGCTCTTCACTGAGGAGTCAAGATCCATCACCCCCTTCAACCTCTTGGCACTTCAACTCAAGAACATCCTCCTAGATGGCTCTCTGGTATAGAACAAGACCACTCTTCAGTGATACAAACAGTACTACTTCATAGCTTAAAACCCTCAACAAGGAAAACTTACTTGCAGAAGTGGAAACACTTCCCAGCTTGGTACAGCCACTTTCTATACCTACTTTCGAGTCCTGCCTGGCATGCATTCTTGATTGCCTGTTAAATTTAAAAACCACAGGAATTGTTGCTGGGTTTAATTGAGGTTCACCAAGTTGCCATCGCTGATTTTCATTGTCCCCCATCGAGGGGTTTTCAGTCTTCACTCACCCTTCCACTACCAGGTTTATTATAGGTCTGTTCAATCTTTTCCCTCCTGTCAAGGAGCCAGCTCCACCATGGGACCTCAACTTAGCCTCCATTTGAACATATGGGGCATTGTTCCCTCCTCCATTTGTCCCTCAAGACCTTGTTCCTTGTCTTCATCTCGGCCAGAAGGGTAGGAACCCTGATGGCTGACCCACTGTACATGATGTTCTATCATGATAAAGTGACAGTCTGTTCACATCCACACTTCTTGTCTGTTTCTTCAGAATTCCACATTTAATCAGGAGATTCATCTACCAGTGTTTTTTAGCCCAAGCCTTGCTCTTCAAGAGATGAAGTGAGCCTCCATAGACTGGATGTAAGAAGGGCTGTCACCTTTTACCTTGACAGAACTAAGTCCTTCATTTCTGTTGTGGAATGAATGAAAGGGCCCCCAATCTCTACCCAAAGACTGTCCAAATGGGTTTCAAGATGCATCTTAACCTGTTATAAAACCGCAAGGACTTGTCCCTCTTCTAGGTTGATTGCCCATTCCACCAGGGCTCAGACTACCGCTGTGACTCTACTGAAAATGTACCTGTCTCAGACATCTGCAGAGCAGCTACCTGGTCTTCGCTGCACAAATTTTCCCAGCACTGCGCTATTATGCTTGCTTCCAGTGCTGGTACACCTTTTGGTGGTGCTGTTTTATCGTCTGTACTGGATCTGCCTCCTCGGTACCCTCCTCTGTAATTGATGTACTGCTCGGGAATCTCCTGAAGTGGAGCATCCATAGGGACACTACTTGAAGAAGGGAAGGTTACTTACCTTGTAGAGTGACTGGAGTTCTTTGAGATGTGTGTCCCTATGGGCGCTCCACTAGCCACCCTCCTTCCCCTCTGCCATAGTCTTCTTGCTGGGCTTTTCCGGTTCAGAAGGAACTGGAGTGGCAGCGGATCTGCCCCCCTCTTCCCACCGTATACCCTTGTACCAGAGCATGAGGCTATCTCGGGCACAGGCATAGACCTACTGACACTGCTGACAAAATCTCTGATAAGAGTGCAAGGTGCACATGCATCCTGAATTAGGAACACAGAGTAGGACACATCTCAAAGACCTCTAGTTAACGTACAAGGCAAGTAACCTCTCCTTATATGATGATGTCATTTTTAGTGTCCTTTACCCAACTGGCTTTGCTTTTATCATGACACGATGGCATTCTTAAGAGCTGTTGTTAGGGTAAGGGTGTTGGCCCTTCTTAAAATACTTAGTTGGATATTTGAATTTATGACTACTGCTGAGGCTCTAAATTAAGTTTATTTTCTTACATAATTTTCTCAAGATGGCTAATATTTGAAAATGTTAGTTTGACAGAGAGAACGTAAAAATTCCAGGAATGCTGATAATTGATACTCCAGGACATGAGTCTTTCAGGTAAATTTTTTTATTGTTATGATGTGAAGGGTCTTGTTAATAACTGATCATAAGACTTAACGGTTAATATAGGCATAGATACTTAACTGAATTATAGAATTTAGGATGAATCTGCTACTTTACTGTATAACTTTACACTTCTAAAAAAATATTTGGATCTGACAAGGGATGTGCTTGATTTACATTTGCATTTTGTATCTAGCTAATCACTTGTGGATGAAACGTGTATATAATTTTCCCATCCATGGTCAAACTCTTATATTTAGAAGAGCATGTAAAGGCAATCTTTATCTTTGAATAGTGAATATAAAAACTTTATTGAGAGAAAACAGTGCTTATCTGTGAAATGTAACTTAAGTGCTTAGGGAAAAGACCTTTTTCCCATCTTAGTTTCTAGATAAGTAGTCAATGACCTAATTTTTGGCTTGTTATAGAGCCTAAATGAATCTGGATGTTAGAGATTATGAAAGCTAACTTTCTTAAAAGGTCTCCTATACATTTTACTTATTAATTCTGGATCCTAATAAATCCCTAATGAAAACTTAACATAAAAGGAATTCTGGTTGATTAAATGTGACATCCTCCAACAACACCCTCTCAGGCAATGAAATGCCAGGTTTTAGCTGTACTCCCAATACCTACGCAGCCCATTTCTGTAGATGATCAGAAACTCGGCATCTTCATAACAAACTTCCTTCTGCTCCAACAGATAAAGAACATACTACACTTAACACGGTGTACATAACCTCAGTTATAAGCTCAGCAACATGAGTAAACAGTCAGCATCGACATGTGAATAAGTTAATTGTGCAATGTGTTAGGGAAGTAGGAGGAGTTGATCTCTTGGTTAACGTGGTTAGAGACTGAAGATAAAATAAATCTGCATGGATTACCTGAATTTATTGCTAGGGTATTAAAGAATTCGATCAGTGCAGTCTCTTCCCATACTTAAATTCAAAACTGAATTACAGTGATCTGATTTAGGACCTTTAGAGCAATTTTCAATCACCTTCTTAATAATCTTGCTCAAAAAGGACAAGTTAGAAACAGTGTGATCGCTAATATTGTTTGCTGATTGAGTATTGCACCTCCCAATAGGTTTGCCTAAAAATTCTTCCACAAATGTGTTCTTTTGTTATTGGACTTGGACTTATAGAAACACTCTATAATATGTTTTGGAAGTGATCCTCTATTAATGGTATATAGCTGGTATGTCATTTAATCAGTCTTCCTAGGAACTAGGAATGTGGCATTGTCTTAATGAAAATCACAAGATTTTCACTTTTTGTTGGGTAAACATCAGTTGATCCTGATAGTTTAAAAAATCGTTTCTAAATTAAAAAAAAAGTATGGACTATTCTGATTACTGTATGAATGACATTCTTTCTTTCCTAATGCCACAGCAACCTAAGAAATCGAGGAAGCTCACTTTGTGATATTGCTATTCTAGTAGTTGATATCATGCATGGTTTGGAGCCCCAGACAATTGAATCTATAAACCTGCTGAAATCCAAGAAATGTCCCTTTATCGTAGCACTCAACAAGGTAAGATGGCCTTTCAAAGATTTATTTAGAAAATTCAGTATCAAATACATACTGTGCTATTTTGTCAATTGAATTGTGTTTATGAACAGTACCATCAATCCATTGTAAGAGCTGAAGCTGTGGTTCTTAGTTGTCTCTGTTGACTTGCATCTTTTTCTGTAAATGAAACTGAGAATAATTATAAGATTTTCATAGACTTTGCAGAGCAGTTTAAGGAGTCTCCTTAAAGAAATGTTTATTATTCAGTTCATCTCATAGCTCTTCTGTGTGGTTCACGTTGCTGGAAGTTGTTCTTCAATCATTCTGTAATATACTTAGATGAATTGGTTGGGTGATACCTTGTCTTCTCTTTTTTTACCTTGTAAAATCGAAAGGTGGAGTACGATTCTGCTCCCCTTTTAACTATTTATTTAGCGTGTGCATAGTCGTCTAGCCAAGCGATGGCATCTTCTGTGGTGGGTCTTCTAAACTAACAACAGGAAGTTAGTTGTTTGAGACCGGTTTCGGTGTCCTAGCAGAGCACTGAGCAAATTTAAATACATTGTAAGGACTGGTTTCAAGTATTACAGCATTAGGTGACAAAGAGTAGAGGAAAAATATGTTAATGTAATTAGTTTGTCTTTAAAATTGAATAGTTGGCCAACATTTTCAGGTATGCTGATAGGCATTTTGATTTCTTACAAAATAAAGATAAAAACCACTTTACTGTATGTTTCAATTAAATATTTGTATAGAAAAGAAAAACTAAGGCACTACAGAAACCCTGATGTTACAGCTCTCATGTACATATTAAAGTCTGTTATATAGATGGTGCTAAGAAAACTAAGTTGTGTTCAGATCACTTGGCCATATATTATGCGACACACCGGCAGTCTTATTTTTTTAATAGGTGTTAATGCATATTGCAAAAGAACTGCATTACGATTTCAAAGTATTAAGTAAATATTAAGAATTAAGGGTGGCAGGGAGTTGAGAAACGTGTGTGCAATTACTGAAAGGACTCTTGTCTACTGGTTGGGAGGTGGAGGGGGCGGTTTGACCTTGAAAGTGTCTTAAACCTTAATTATGGAGGCCTTCAAATCTTATTTTTGTTTGTTTTTTAAACACTTCCATGTTGTTAGTCACAGCAATAGAATCATGTTACTTGGTGTAGGTATGTGTACTACTTCATGGCCCAGTTAAAAAGGTCTTAATTTACATACCTTTTTATGAGCATTGTGGAAGAAGCAAATCTTAAGTAGGGATTTGAATGAAATGACCATAATGCCTTGCACCAAACATGACCTACTTTAAAACTTACTTTGGGAGTTACCCTAAATTCTGTAATGTCGTTTTATTGTTTTTGATGCCTGTTCTGAACACATCTTCTTTAAAAAACAAATTGCTGTTGATATTGACTTAATTTCTGTTGTGCTGTTGAAGGAAAGGAGTTCCAAATTCAACAAAAAGCTTTAAAATACGTTTTTAGAAACTGTTAAATATCCTTTAGGCAAGGGCTTTGTGTATCCTTTCTTCACTGTATATAAACACCAAGAACATTATTTCATTTACAAAAAAAAAGTCATGACTTGAGAGTCATGTTCTCGGGAAGCTGGAAGACTAAAATCTTTTCCCACTTGTTTTGTCTTAAACTTGACGGAATACATGTAATTAAACTACCTTTTCAGTATAAAAACACTTTGCACATATATCAAAAAACTCAGTTTAACAGTCTGAAGTTTAAAAAAAACTTAATTATTGCTCTCGAAAATATTCTCCAGTACTGTTTTTGTTTTTTTCCCATTACAATACTGGATACATGTATTTTCTATTTGAAACCTACACATGGTTACTAGGATAAATTGGCATCTAGATACTATGATGATTAATACTTATGAATAACTTAATATTTCTTACAAGTTATTCATATGTAAGGCAGGTCATAAATGACAGTTGACTTCTGTAGGCATAACCCAGGAATGCACTTCTGAACATTGCAAGGCATGACATAACTGTATTAAAATTGTATTTTCAAGATTGATAGGTTATATGACTGGAAAAAAAGCCCTGATACAGATGTAGCTACCACGTTAAAGAAACAGAAGAAAAACACAAAAGATGAATTTGAGGAACGTGCAAAAGCTATCATAGTGGAATTTGCACAACAGGTAGGTTGGATTATTAAACTTCTTTCTGTTAACAGAAGTGAAAATAGGTGGATAGCTTTTGAAAGCCTGACTCACAAAGCAAGCCAAAGAAAGATTTCTTATGGTATGAATATCACACTGTGTATTTTCTGACCCTTTATCAGTGTTAATCATTTATATAAATTGAAACTAAAGTAGAAAACCTGTGCTTTATTTTGATTAGCGACAGCTTTCTCTAGCCCCATTCCAGTCCTGGGGCACTCTGTTGAGAATGCAGGGCCAGCAAGAACAGAGAGGATTTTCTACACACTCTCCCCTCATTTGAATCACCTGAGAGAAACTGTCTCCTCCCTTTTTTCTTCAGACTAGCGTGATTGTGTTCCAGCAATACTTAGTTTTCACAGCCTCTGACTGGTCCCATAGAAACTGCCTGTAAGCTAAAATACAGTAACTAGCTTTATAGGATTTACTTATATTTTGAGTGTTGTCTGTTGCCACCTTTTGTGCTTTAAAGTGTGAAATTTGAGATTGCATTATTAAGGTGTTACTGAAATGGAGCTATGACTTGAATTCAGGATTTGAAAAATGTGATAGAACCATTTAGTTTCTTGCTACATGCTGTTACTGTTCATGTGGTAATTTCCCATGCATCTGTACTGTTCCTGGTTCTAGGGCTTGAATGCTGCTTTGTTCTATGAGAATAAGGATCCCCGCACTTTTGTTTCTCTGGTACCTACCTCTGCTCACACTGGGGATGGCATGGGGAGTCTGATAGCCCTTCTTGTTGATTTGACGCAAACCATGCTGAACAAGAGACTGGCCCAATGTGAGGAACTGAGAGCTCAGGTTATGGAGGTAAGTCAGTATCTGTGCTTTAGAATATTTGTCTAGCAAACTTTTTTCCTTTTTGTGGCTGATAAACACTTGCATTTCAACTCAGTTTAACTTTTTTTTCCCTCTCTCTCTCATATCTCTTAGGTCAAAGCACTTCCAGGCATGGGAACTACCATAGATGTAATTTTGATTAATGGACGTCTGAAGGAGGGTGATACCATTATTGTCCCTGGAGTAGAAGGTCCTATAGTAACTCAGATTCGAGGTCTTCTGCTACCTCCTCCTATGAAGGAACTACGAGTTAAGGTATGGGAACAGCATGTGCATGTGGCATTTTAGGGAAGTCTTAAGAATTAGAACAAAAGATTAGAATAAGGGGGAAACCCAGAGAAGTATTCAATACACGTTACATCATAGTAAAAAGTGTCAAAGATGATCAAATTAAAGTGAGGAGGGGGAATAAATGGAAGAAGTTGCAGGTTACAGTGCATCCATACTCCCATAGATGTGTCTAATTGTGGAAGTGGTTCAGGACAAGGATCAAAGAATAACCACACAAATGTATATTAACAAGCATCAAGGTTCATGCATAATGCATAGACGTGGAAGGGAGAGATTTTGTAAAATGCATACAAAACCCATAGAAAGACTTCTTAAAAAAAACAACAACATGCAAATATAGAGTGAAATTACTGAACCAATGAATCAGTAATTTATGGTGTTTGGTGCCAGGTGTCCTGAGATGAGATGAATGAAACCCTTGCATAGTGCTGCAGCAGGTTTCAGGAGGGATAGGAGACTGGGCCAGCCTGATCTCACTAGGGTTGTGTAGCTAGGGAGTAGACAGGGAGGTTAGAATCTTGACTTCTGGATCCTTCTGAAAGGAGGAGGAGAGCCACAGAAGTGAAAAGTCGATTTATGAGAGGAGGAAGAGGAGAAGCTAGAACCTGATGAGGAGCAAAAGAGCTTTTCTCTGTTACTCTACTTGAAACGAAGGCAGTAAGGGTCTGGAGCATTTCATAGAACTAAGGCCAGAGGAACCGTTATGACTCACTAGTCTTCCCCTTTGCATAACACAAATCATAAACATTTCTCAGATTAAATGGGGGGTGGGGGAGATAGCTCAGTGATTTGAGCATTGGCCTGCTAAACCCAGGGTTGTGAGTTCAATCCTTGAGGGGGCCACTTAGGGATCTGGGGCAAAATCAGTACTTGGTCCTGCTAGTGAAGACAGGGGGCTGGACTCGATGACCTTTCAAGGTCCTTTCCAGTTGTAGGAGATGGGATATCTCCATTAATTTAATTTAAATTTAAAATCCAGATCTTGAGTCCCAGTCCAGAAGCTTAACAATAAGACCATCTTTTCTATGGTTGGGGAAGTATGTCCTTGCAGGGCTCTATAATCCTGGGGGCTTCACAGAGTTGGACACTATAATAGGGCAAGCTGGTAAATCTGGATTTTAGCACCCACCTTGGCATTCCATTTTCTGTCTTGCATGATGATGCCCCACTGTGGTGACCACACAATCCTGGCTGCATTGAAAATGGTGTTGCAGAGGAAGGAAGAAGGCTGAGTGGAATCTGACAACACTAATGGGGCCTTTTGGGTCTAGTTGTAGTAGGGAGATCAGGCACCTTGTCCATGTTCACCTGGACACCCACACAGATTGAGTAGCAATGCAGATGGCTACAACAATTCTCTTGGGGGCCCTATGAAGTGCTAGGTCAGCTTTCCTGTCCTTGGTGTCCAGTGGTACTGCTGTTGGCCTGTAAGGGATAGACTGGATACTAAGACTCCTCTTTGTCATTCTCAGAGCAAGGTCCTGTTTGATTCATCTTCAGTTGCTGGGTATCTGCTTACTGAGGGCGGGGGCGGGTGAACTGAAGACACATCTGGGCACATGCTCCCTGTGTTTAAAAACAAGGGTAAAATTTTGCCTCTGTCCCATTTTCAGAGTGCACTTAAGAGCTTGAATCTTACTGAGAGTCTGGGCTCCTTAGCTCTTGTCACTTCCTGAGGAGTCCAATGGGAAATGGGGTCTCTAGCAAGTTAGGGTCACCTAGAGGAACTTCATCAGCCTTGAGACAGGAGATGAATTTGGGTGCCTCCAGAGAGCATGAAAGGGTGGGGTGTTTGTGGGGTTAGGGAGCTGTACTGGAATCTCCAGGGAAGGTGGAGACCTTACAGAGGTAATGGATCCCGGCACTGACTTGATGGTCTCTTCAAGCTGAGACTGTGAAATTCCTTGCTGTAGGGAGGGTCTGGGTAGGAGAGGGTTCCCCTAGGATGTGGAGGAACAGTGCTGGAGCTTCAGGGAGATGAGAGAGGGGGCGATACCAGTGTATTGCTATCAGGAAAGAGGCTGTTAGGAAGGGCTGCCTACTTTCCTCATCGAAGACCACCTACTCTCCAGTCATGCTGAATATGTGGGGGTGGGGGGCAGAGCCCTTGTAGACACTTTGTAGAGTGCTGTCTGGTGTGCCTCCCTCCTCTCCCCCCACCAAAAAACAAAACTAAATCTATGTCAGAAGCAGGGGACTTGCTGATAGACTCACTCCCTGCTGCTCTGTTTTCTGTCTGTTCTTTTCTGGGATTCCTTTTCCTTCTCTTGGGCCTTTTCTTTAGTTTTGGGCTTAAAAGAGAGGCAAGAGGAAGAATTAAGGAGAGAGCAGATGGGCATGCACTGAAGCACACGCTCCCCACTTCAGGGAGTTGGAGGCAAAGAAAATCTGGAAGAAGTGGGAACATGCCTGAGCCACCTTTGTGCTACAGGGCTTGATTGTCAGAGTCTGTGCCTCCTTGTTTGCTTGTGCAGCCATAAAATTAGGCAACTTTGACTGTCTTTATTGGTAGCATGGGAAAAGAGGGACATATGACCAGATGATCTGCTGAGTAGCCACCCCCCTGCTGTGTGCTGCTAAAGAACATCCATGTGAACTCGTAAATTAATTTTTTTCTTTCTTCAGAATCAGTATGAAAAACACAAAGAAGTTATTGCAGCCCAGGGTGTAAAGATTCTTGGGAAAGACTTGGAGAAAACATTGGCTGGTTTGCCCCTGCTTGTGGCTCATAAAGAGGATGAGATCCCAGTTCTTAAGGTGAGGCATTGCTGAACGTATCCAATTCCAGTAGGATCTAGAATGGAATGCCAAGTAACATGAAATCCACTGAATGATTAAAAGTAACAGAATGAAAATCTTTTTAACAGGAATTTTTAATCTGTTAAAATGTTGAAACTTCAGCATGTAGGAAACGTAGCCGTTTTAATTGGATCTAAAACAATTTCGTAATGTATGAATTTTGTGTTAACACTATAACCTGTAACTCTAGCACAGTGGAATTTGTTAGTGTTTCCATGACACGTTTATTACCAGGTAGAAAATTAGCTTACTGGAGTCTGTGATTCTGAGCTTAAGTTATTAAAAACCAAACTATCCAGTTTGTAAGTATAATTGTTGTTTTGGGACCTGGAGTAATCTGGATCTATTTTATTAAAATTAGTGATTACCCAAAATACAAATTTGTTCTTTAAATTAGTGAGATCAGAATACTTGAATTTACAGAACTGGCTTTAGCATATGTTAGGAAGTACCACACAAGAGAAACTTAGGGAGGACTTTCCCTGTGCGTGTTTCATTGTTTCGTGTCCTTGTGCTAATATAGCTGTACTACCGTTCTGGATGAGCTGCTTTTAGTTGTCTGGATCAAAAATTCACTTTTCAAAAACTTCATCCCATCAAATGGTATAAATGGCCTGCCTCAGTGATTTAACCCTACAGCTTCCAGAACTGTCCACTTAACATTTGATTTTAAACTAACATTAAGTTCATATTCCAAAAAGTCCTAAAATTCTGACTGGCGTGTGTGTATATAGAAAATCTTCCATACAGTGACCATCTGAGCACTTACCAAAATTAAGGGGACAGAAAGATTTGTGTCTGTCAAGGAACTGGACTGCATGTTTAATATTGCGGGAAGCCTGGGCAGGAGTGGGTATTTTGCTCTGAATTTAATGAGGTCTTTATGCTGGTCTTTTCTAGTCTGGTTTCTGTAATATGTAATTTGTTTGCTCAGTACATTGTACCACAAAGGGCATTTAAAAATATCTCTGACCAAGATTTTAGGGGTGTCTGCTTTCGTGGCTGATCAGAAAGGTGTAGCTTTGTTTTCTTACACTAGTGAAGACGCTATAGGTAGCTGACAATCACATTCTGCCTAGATTGCCTGATCATCAAGCTCAACAGTAGAGACTATTACAGTATTAGGAAGGAGAGAGCAGTGGATTGAAGAAAAGAGTTACTTGCCTGTATCGTAACTTTTGTTCTTCGAGTTATGAGGCAGACATGTATTCCACTCGGGTGCACGGGCACAGTGCACAAAAACTGGACAATTTTGCCTACCAGTACCCATATGGGCAGTGCTCGCTCTCCTCCCTCTCATGGCTACATAAAGGCACCACCCCAACTCCTCTCAGTTACTTTGCACCAAAATCCCCAGCTTGGAGACTCCAATGCAGAGGGGTGGAGCATGGGTCGTGGAATACATGTCTGCACCCACATCTTGAAGAGCAGACATTACAATACAGGTAAGTAACTGTCTCTTCTTCTTTGAATGGTTGCAAGCATGTATTCCACTCAGGTGATTCACAAGCAGTTCCAGCAGGAGATGGGCTTGGAGTCTATTTAAATAGTGCAGAAGTGCATTCCCAAAATTTGCATCAGATCTCAATGCCATGATGATAACAGCATGTCTAGCAAAAGTGTGCACAGAAGACCACGTCGTAGCCCTGCAGGTATCTCCTACTGAGACATTGCTAAGAAATGCAGCCCTGTCACCTGACCTCTTGTTGAACGAGCCTGCAGTGACTGTGGAGGCATCATCTGAGCCTTTTCATCAGTTGTGGTAATGCAGTTATTCACTTGGAACAGTCCAAAGGGGAGAGCCAGGCCCTGGTAGTGATGGCCGGTGACAAGGAATCTGAGGAACTTCCTGTGGCCTGGGAAGATTGTCATTTGAAAATAAGTGTCCTGAAGATAGCATGAGAGCACTGAGAAGCGGGGTGAGGTGTGAGAAGCTTTTAGGGGAGGGAAAAATGTGTTTGAGAACAGCTGCCCTAGAGTACACAGGATTTGTACCTGCTGTGACAGCAGTGTCTTGTGAAAGGGGTCCCTGGAGGATGGGGTAGAGGGATGGGATGGGAGGGGAGAATGGCTAGCAACTGAATGGCATAACCCAGTTCCACAGTCCTTAGAACTCATCTGTCCATAATTGTCATCTCCCAAGCACTGTAGAAGTGAGACAGCCTGTCCCCAAATATTTGGGGCATAGGTATGATATTGAGAACTGAGGTGCTGCTCTCAAAACAGTGGTCAAACAGACTATCTGGCTGAAGAAGGCCATTTGACTAAATGTAGACCAAAAAGGTTTCCTCCTCAGTGACTTATGCCCCTTTCAGGGGAAATCTTGCTTCCTTACAGGGTAGGAAGGCTGATGGAAATACTGCTCAGAATGATATTGCTGTTGGTTCCCAAAATACCTTCTGTGTGGCTGGGTATAAATTCTCAACGAGCATAGGGTTCCCAAGAGTCTTTGAAAGAATGTAACGTCTCATCCGTTTTCTCCGAGGCAAATGGCAAGTCCACTATATGCTTTGCTGGATCTTAGACGCTATGCCAGAGTTTTGTAACCATGAGATTCTTCTCATAGTTACAGCCAAGGCCATGAGCCTGGATAATCATCTGGTGTATCCAGGACTGATTGTAAAGATGTTTTGGCCACTAAATGACCTTCTGTAAGAAAGGCCTTGAACTTCTCCCTGGAGGATTCTGGTAACATGTCTACAAATTTGGATGTGGTGTCCCAGTTCATAAAATCATACTTTGACTTCCTCCTTGCAGATGCACATTGCAAACCAACAGACTTATCAAATAGCTTTCTCCCCATCAAATCTAGCCTTTTGAACTCTTGAGACATAGATGTATTTCTTCACTGTCTCACTCATTTGCTGCTGTCACAACCAGGGAATTGGGAGCTGGATGGGTGAAATAGGATTTGAAGTCCTGCACTGGGACATAGTATCTCTTATCAGTGCACTTTGCTGTGGGCATTAACAAAGCCAGTGTATTCTGTAAGATTTAGCAGGCTCTAATGTTGCTTTGTTTATTGGGAGAGCAACTCTCCCAGAAGCCAGTGGCTGGAGGATATCCACCAACGTATGGGTATTTTCCTGCACAAACTTGACCTGAATACCTCAGACCGATGCCATGCATCTGATCAGATCCTGATGTGATCTGCAGTCCTCTGGTACTGGAGACAAGGACTAAGGTACCACTTCATCATCAGTGCTGAAGAGGACGAGGTAGCTGGGGCCAGTGGAATGACATCCGACTGTCCCAAAGGTTCAGGATGTCCTCATGCAGAGGGACTGCAGGATAGGTGGTTTCAGAGAGGAGCCTACTGGAGGTACCGGTGTTGTCATTCTAGAGCAGGGGTGGTCAAACTACAGGCCGCATCCGGCCTGTAGGACATTTTAATCTGACCCTTGAGCTCCCGCTGGGGAGCGCAGTCTGGGGCTTTCCCCTCTCTGGCGCTCCAGCCAGGGAGCGGGGTCAGGGGTTTGACCCGCTCGCGTGTGCCATGGCTCCACACGGTTTCCAGAAGCAGCGGCATGTCCCCTCTCTGTCTCCTACGCGTAGGGGCAGTCAGAGGGTTCCACATGCTGCCACTGCCCCAAGTGCCACCCCCGCAGCTCCCATTGGCTGGGAACTGCAGCCAATGGGAGGTGTGGGGGCGGTGCCTGGGGACAGGGCAGCGCGCAGAGCTGCCTGGCCACTCCACCGTGTAGGAGCTGGTAGGGGGACATGCCGCTGCTTCCGGAAGCTGTGTGGGTGGTACCTGTGGATGGGGCAGCGTGCAGAGCCGCCGGGGCAGTGTGCACAGCTGCCTGGCTGCGCCTCTGGATAGGAGCCGGACGGGGGACATGCCACTGCTTCTGGGAGCTGCTTGAGGTAAGCACTGCCCAGAGCCTGCACCCCTGACCACCTCCTGTGCCCCAATCCCCTGCCCCAACCCTGATACCCAGAGCCCGCACCCCCAGCCGGAGCCCTCCTGTGGCCACTCCTGACCGAGCTACCAAGTATCCCGCACTATCCAGGGCCCAGCCCCACAGTGGCATCAGTACGAAAGGAACAGTTGATGGCTTTTTGAATACTGGGACCAGCTCCAAACTTGTAGTGGGCCCCAAAAGAGGCATCGGTTTCAAAATGAAGCTGGTCCCAGGCCAGCAGATGCAGTCAGTGTCCTAGTCTGTATCAGTATCAAGGATTCAATCCATGTCAACGATATGCTCAGTTTCAGCAGGAAACTGCCACCAAACCCAGGAGAGCTGAGTACTCAGCAAATGATGCCACTGCAGCTGTATGATCCTGAATAATCAGTGAAACAGAGACAGGCAGGCACAGCAAATCTGCTGCCTGATGGGCAGTCAGCGTGGAAACTGACAGTGCTGTCATCTATGCCCAGGGTGCCTGTCTCAAAGGGTGCCCCCGAGGTCGTACTGGAGTCAACAGTACAGATTCATCCTGATCCCACCTCAGTACCGGAGATTGGGTCCTGCTCTGTCCTGCATACTGGGAGACTCCTAGTGCCAGTCGGTACTTCTCTTAGGTGGAGCAGATGATCTCCTTGACCTCTGAAACAACCACAATCTGTTTTGTGGTTTCTTTTCCTCAGGGGTCCCGATGAAGTGGAGCAGTCCCCCCCCCCTTTTTTTTTTCCTGGGCGAGTATTCCAAGCTCGGTCTAGAAGCACCAGTCCATACTGGCTGCAGCACTCTTTGAGGAGCCTGATTCTCCACAGCGGTCCCGCATCGAGGCAGGCCTCATTGCCTGCTTGAGAAGGTGCTGTTTTAATCCTAAGTCTCTAGCTACCTGTGTCCTCTTTTTAAAGGACTCACATATAGAGCATCTTTCTTTAAAGTGCCCTTCCCCAAGGCACAATACACTTCTGGTGTGAGGATCATTATTGGGGATAGCTGCCCCATGCAACGGGCAATATTTAAACCCTGATGAGGGCATCCCACGGGGAGACACTACCTAACTGCTTACTATTACTGACTAATTAAGGGTACTAACTATAACTATATACAAAGATGATGCAAAACGCAGTGAAGGAAAGAGCACACTAAGGGTTCAGACTCCAGCTGCAGGTGGTGAAAAGGAATTGAGGGGGGATTGGGGCAGTGTTGCCCTCATATAGTCATGGAAGGGGTTATGAGGGGAGGGAAGCAAGCATTGCCCCTAAGGGTACTGCTAGGGTGTGCTGTGTGTGCACACACCTGAGTGGAATACGTGTTTGCAACCACTTGAAGATAAGCTCTTTCAATAATAATGCAAAACCTACCTTTTTGCAAAATCTTCAAGTGATTTGGTAGAACTTCATGGTCCAGAGATTCTTCTAGCTACATTGGAGGGGGAGAAGAAACTTATCTGTATACTGACAGAAACATCAGTTACTTTAGCCATGGAGTGGTGGAGCAGAGGGCCAATTATATAAGTTGGCACATGGTGTCGAGATACCATATTGATGGGTGCATTATAAGACCGTGGATGGATAGAGGAGTTTTGAAGCTTAGCAGGTTATTGTAGTTTGATAAGATTGCTAAAATTTGCTTTTTCTTTTTAAAGGATGAGTTAATACATGAACTGAAGCAAACGCTGAACGCTATCAAGTTGGAAGAGAAAGGTGTTTATGTCCAGGCCTCTACGTTAGGCTCTTTGGAGGCACTACTTGAATTTCTTAAGACATCAGAAGTGCCAGTAAGTATTTGATACAACGAAAACATTAGAAAGTTATGGTCTGAAATACTCTGTTCATCTAACTGAAGAAGAGCAGGATAGTCATTTATTGCTTTTTCCCCACAGTATGCTGGAATTAACATAGGTCCTGTCCATAAAAAGGATGTTATGAAGGCATCAGTTATGCTGGAACATGATCCTCAGTAAGTAACTTTTTCTTATGCTGCTGTGCCCATTACAACATATGGTAAAGTTTCCAACTGTTGCTTGTTCTGTAGGCTACTTCACAGCTGATTTTATTTATTTATTTTATTTTATTTTTAAACTTGCAGGTATGCAGTAATTCTGGCATTTGATGTGAGGATTGAACGAGATGCCCAGGAAATGGCCGATAGTTTAGGAGTTCGAATTTTTAGTGCAGAAATAATTTATCACTTATTTGACGCCTTTACAAAATACAGGCAAGACTACAAAAAACAGAAACAGGAAGAGTTCAAGTAAGTGAGAGTTGTTCTTATTTGGAGGCTTTCAAACTTGTGTAATACCTAATGAAATGAAAAGCATACATTGAATGCATATTTCTGTTAAGCATGGAGTTCTTGTGAAGTTCTAGTGGGGTTTTTAATTTATTTTTTATTGGAATCTCAAGAATTCTACAGTCCCAGCACAGAGCAATGGAACTTTTTTCACTCGGAAGCAGATTTACTAGGACTCTTCCAGTTACAAAACCACCATAATAAAATCTAGTCTGAAGGGAATGTATAAAATGGAGCTGCTTATTCGAGTAGTGTTCCTATGGGTGCTCCATTGTAGGTGTGCTTGCATCCCTGAGCTGCTGATTGGTGAACTTCATTAGCAGTGTCCATTAGGCCCGCATGTGTGCAGTCTTTCCTCATGCTGCGACACGAGGCTACTTAGTGCGCATGGGCTAACCTCCCCCACCCCAGTCTTTCTCAGCTGCCCCTGGCTAGAGATGGTGCCATTAGCAGTCCGTTAAGGCTATTGTTCTCTTGTTCTACATAGTTCTAGTTAGTTAGCCTCCTAGTTCTAGTTGTAGTTTTTTTTTTCTCCTCCTTTCTTATTCTCTATTCCCCTTCCCCCCTGACTGTTTTTCTTCCCGCCTTTTTTCCCGGCCGGAGATCCTTCTCCTCAATGGGGTATGCTTGGTTCACTAGGCTTCAAGTGCTGCACCTGTAAAGAGGCGATCCCAGTTGTGGAAAAGTGCACTCAGTGCATTCACTGCCTCAGGGAAGGTCACATACAGCAGAAGTGTAGTCTTTGCCAACAACTCCATCCAGGATCCTGCAAAGACAGAGTGTTCCTCCAGAAGAGCATCTTCCTGGAGGCAGCTCTGCGATAGCAGTTGAGTGGTAGACATGAGTCTTCCCGCAACCTCACACATCTAAGGGTTGTGGGTTGAAGAAACAGGCTGCGGACCCCACTCACAAGTCGTCCAAGAAGAGAGTGGGAAGTCCCGTTAGTGAGCCCTGAGATGGCCATAAGTGATCATCATCTCGCTTGGCATCTTCGGCACTGCTGGCACCGAGACCATCTCATTCCAGCAGCCAGGCCTCACAACAACCAATGGCTACTGGTACCGCTGCCAGGCCCATGGATCCGATGGGCATGTTACTGAAGGACAAGAGTAAATGTTCTAAAAAGACTCTCCCGGTACATGAGTCCACTTTGGTATTGCCAGCGACAGCTCACATGGCACCTGAAAGACAGGTGCGGACAAGGTCTCTACCTCCCATCCTGGCACCACCACTGATGCCAGAATGATTGGTACCAGCAGAATCCTGTCATTCCAGAGACCTCTGCATGCCAGATGCACTCAAGCCTCCGCCTCAGTACCGAGACCTCTACACCATGCTTCTACCAAACACAGGAAGTATTCCTGCTGCCGTGCCATGCCGCTTTGCTCTTAGCAAGGATTCAGACAGTGAGCCAGAGGAGGTAGTGTCACAATACTCCTCCCAAGTTCCATATGGTGCTCACTACCAACAGGGCCCCAGGATGGCACCCACCACCATCACCATCTTGGTACAGGCACCCATGGGTGCCACCACCGGACTGTATGTCACAGTAATGACCATATTGGGACCCTCGGGCAGTGCACCGACAGCATGCCTCTCGAGCTTTGAGCCTCACTCAAGAACCCTCCAGGCACACCCCCTCTGCCGCAGCATCCAGGGTTTTGGAGCCGCCTCAAGAGATAAGAGGAGCAGGAAGCCAATACTGAGGAGGAAGCGACATGGAGGACCATATCCTCCTTGTCTCTGGATGAAGCCATCATGCCTCCCCCACCATCCTTGGCAGATGACTTTTGACTTTTCCAGGAGCTGGTGAAAATACCATTGGAGGAAGTCAGGGATCCCCACCATCAGCTCCTTGACGTCGTCCTCAAAGATCGTCCTGCTGATTATTGAGGCCATTTTAGACCTGGCAAAGCCCAGAATCAGTGGCCCCAACCTGCAAGCAAGCAGACAAAAAACACTATGTCCTCGCCAGGGAATTTGAATTCCTTTTTTTCCACCCGCCAACCAACTCCATCATGGTGGATGGTGTCAACTTCCGTGGCCGACAACACCAGTCAAGGGCTACTCCTTACGATAGGAATTGGAAGTGCCTTGATCTTTTTGGCAGAAAAGGGTACTCCTCGGTTCTGGATTGCCAACTACCAAGCCCTCGCAGCGAAATACGACTACATAAATTAGTCTAAACTGAATTACTTTATTGAGAAGTTGCCAGAGGCACTTCACGACTGTTGAAAGCAGTCCACAAATGCCAGCCAGGCTTTGCCTCCCACTCTTGGGACATACAACAGTGGGCATGGTGGTGATACCTCATGCCAGGCTTCACATGTGATGCCTCCAAATATGGTTTGGCTTGGTTGACAGACCGAACAAGGACAGGTAAGACAAACCCCAGTCACTACCCATCAGGATAAAAAACTCTTCAGACTGGTGGAAGGACCCAGCCAATGTTTGCAAAGGGATTCCCTTCTCACAAACATCAGTCATTGCTCCTCACCACCGACGCATCACTCATAGGATGGGGCATTTATCTAAACGGCCTCACGACGCAAGGCAAATGGTCATGCATGGAGATGTCCCTTCACATCAATCTCCTCAAGCCAGCAGCTGTCAGGAACACCGCAGGATCACACACAAAGATCCTAACAGACAACATAACCTCTATGTACTATATCAATCAGCAGGGGAGAGCCAAGTGGCTATCCCTATGTGCAGAGGCAATGAAGTTATGGAATGGGTCCATTTTTCCACAATGTTACACTTTCTGTGGCTTACCTCTCAGGCACACAAAACTTGATAGTGGACAGTCTCAGTTGCAAATTCCCACACAACCATGATGGGGAAATACACCCAATAGTACTTCATGACCTATCCAGATGATGACCATTCACAGACCTGTTCGCCACTTAGCTGAACAAGAAAGGTCCATGCTACTGCTCCATTCCCTGGGTTTTGCTCTCCTCCCATGGGACGCTTTCCCTCTGTTTCCCCTACTGTTGAAGGTCCCGCTGAAAATAAAAAGGAGCAGAGCTCTCATGATTTTGATTGCTCCTACTTGGCTGAGGTAAACCTGGTACTCCATCTGTCAGAGCTCGTGATATGCCCGCCAATCTCCCTCCCAACCATTCTGCACCTCCTGTCGGAACAAATCTCCCCAACATCCTCAACTTTTTCACATAAACTAGACTATGCTTTGACCCTTAAAAAGTCAGGATTATCCCAAATCTCTCTTAGGGTCCATCTAGCATCTCGAACAACCTTCCACCAACCTGTAGAGGGGTATTCAGTGCTGTCACACCCAACCACTAAAAGATTCCGCAAGGATATAAATAATAAACCTCTTCCCTCGACCTTGATTTTCTATCCCTATGTGGGTCCTAAACCTGGTACTGGAAGTTCTTACTAGGCCTCCCTTTGAACCCCTGGCTATCTGTTCACAGACGTACCTGTCTATGAAAATGGCCTTCCTGGTAGCGATTACCTTGGCCAGGAGAATAGGAGAGAGAGCAGCTCTGGTGGCACATCCTCCCTGCATGGTATTTTTTCCAGACAAGGTTACGCTCAGGCCACATCCAAAATTCATTCCTAAGGTAACCTCTTCTTTTCACATGAATCAACTGATCCACCTTCCAGTCTTCTACTCCAAGCCTCACCAAGACAACAGGGAGGCTATACTACATACCAGAGATGTCAAGGTGTAAGGCCAGGGCTCTGCTGACAGGACAAGAGTTTGCAGGAAGTCCCCGATCCATGGCAGACAGATCCAAGGGCTCAGCAATATCCGCCCAAAAGCTCTCTAAGGGGGTCTTGAATTGCATCCGACAGTGCTACCAAATTCGCAACATGATCCTTCCATGCCCTGTTCATACACATGCCACAAAGTCTGTCGTCTTCTCATTTGTTGCCTTCTTCAATGATGTCCCTATCTCAGCACCCTGTAGAGCGGTGACATGGGCGTCAGTCCACACTTCCGCAGAACGCTATGCAGTCACTGGGGACAACACCTCCGATGCCATCTTTGACTCCGGAATTCTGTCATCTGTAACTGACCCAACTCTGAAGTCCCGGCCCTCCAGAAGGGGTACAGCTCGGGAGCCACCTACTGTGAAGCACTCAGAGTGACAGTACCCATGCATGCTGACTAGCCTCGTGATGCAGCATTGGAAGAGACTGTGCAATGTGCAGCCCTAACGGACACTGCTATTGAAGTTCTCCAATCAGCAGCACAGGGAAGCAAGCATGCCTACAGTGGAGCACCCACAGGGACACACATCTCGAAGAACCGATGTTACTGCACAAGGAGAGTAATGTCGTCATCTTACTCAGATCTGCTGTGGGTTTACTCCTGGGGAAATTCTGCACCACTGCGCGTGTGCAGAATCTTGTCCCCCACAGATTTATTTGCTTCCCTGAAGAAAAATGACTTTCTGATGGGGAAGCAAAGGGAAGCTGCAAGAGCGGTCATGCTCTCCTTCCCAGCAGTGCGGGCATGTCATTTCGGGTGCCCAGAGCAGCTGACGGAGAGGTAAATCACTGCAGGAAGAGGGTTGAGGATGCCCCAGCCGGTGCTAGGTCAGATCCACCCGGATCCAACCCCTGTGCATTTGGACCGCCCCAGCCCGCACTACTGAGCCTTGCCCCCTGCACCTGAGCCCCCCCACCCTGGCGAGTGCCACCCCTGCACCTGGCCCTCCCCAGCCTCACCCCGCATGGTGCCTCATATTCTGCACTGGGCTCAGCTGCTAGTCCTGACTGGGATGGGGGAGGAGCGCACTTCCCTTGCATAGAGCGGCTGGGACCAGGGACCAGGTCTGGGTCAGACCCACCTCCAGAAACCTCCCCTGGCTCCACACCCTCTCCCCCCCCCCCACTTCCTGCCCCCATCACTCCTCAGACACAGGGGGAGGGATCACTATGGGGAGCTGCTCCCCGGTCTGCCCAACCCCCCTGCATCTAGACCCCCAATCCACCCAACACCCCTTCATCTGTTCCCCTAACTCTGCCTCCAGACCACTACCCCACTGAGCCCCAATCAGTTGCACTGAGACACCCACCAAGCCCCAGCACTCGGACCCCCCTCGCTGAGCCACCCAGACCCCCCCCCTGCTGATCCCCAACCACCTTCACCTGGACCTCCCTGCAGAATCCCATTGCCCCTGCAGCTGGAACCCCACAACAAGCCCCTGTGCAACCAGATCCCCCACTGAGCCACACACTCTCAGGTTGCCCCGCACAAAACCCTCTCAACCCACACCTGGATCCCCCACACTAAGCCCTACCACACTTAGATCCTGTTGGGCTGAGCCTGCCTGCCCCACACCTGGTGCGCCTGTCGTGGGGCTGCTAACCCTGGTGAGTTGCTTCACCTGCGACTCCTGAGGGGATTCTGCACCAAAAAATTAAAAATTCTGCAAATTTTATTTGTCAATAAATAAATGTGGCAGCTCCAGCATGGCAGTGGGTAGTACAGGCCAATGGCTGCGTGGAGGTGGGAGATCACAATGCAACACACGCGCACACGGACCTCTGGGGCAGGCCCAGCCAGTGCACTTTGTCCGGGTGTAGCCTCACTGCTGAGTCCATGCCCCAGAAGAAGGGGAGGGAGCTGCAGGGTGATCTCCCACCTCCATGCAGAATTCCCTCCGGAGTATGGGGTTTTGGAATCCTTTCTGCTTGCTCAAGTGACAAAAACAATTTAACTGTTCTTTTTGGTTACTCTTGCAGATTCAGAAAAGTAATGCCTGAGTGAGCTGGGTTTTTTCTTCTTGCACATTTTATGCACTTGTTAACCAAGTTCCAGTTTGTGACTATTTCTGACTTTGGTTAAACAAATATGGCCCTATCCAAAGCTTGTAGAGGTGAACTGAGGGCAGCATTTTACCTGCAGAATCCATAGTGCTGGTGTTATGCAAACAAGCAAGAACCCAGCTTGCCTCTCAGATCTCAAATTGAGTTTGCAGGGCTAGCAGTTAAAAAGATGGGATTTTTTTATTTGTATAATGAGTAAATTTCTGGGGGTCATTGTGACAAACACGAGACCCTTGCAATGTTATTTCTATTTTTTTTTTGAGAACTGCATTTTAATCGGTATTCTTATAATTACTTTCATTTGTTCTTAATTGGTTGTTGAAGCTAGTCAAAATAAAGCTCACACAAGCTACTCTCCTGTGTGATCTGCTTCAACTAGAATGGTTCAGAATTTGTTCACATTCAGTGAATATTCTCCTCTAAAATAATTAAATGTGTCTAAAGTGTGTATGTTTCCAAACATAACAGCATTATATACATTATTTCAAAATGCCTCTTCCCTGTCATTTCTTAGGCATATAGCAGTATTTCCTTGCAAGATGAAAATACTCCCTCAGTTTATTTTCAACTCTCGTGACCCAATAGTGATGGGTGTAGTGGTGGAAGCAGGCCAGGTGAAGCAGGGGACTCTCATGTGTGTACCTAGCAAAAATGTAAGTAAGCGTTCTCATCTTTCTACTATGAGCAGAAGAGTTTTGGCCTGATGAAGTTGGCAGGACAACATTCAGTTCCCTCAAAAGCTGCTATATATGTATCCCAAAAGGACAGAATCTCTGTAGGAGCTGCTCTCTCCCCTAAAATGAGCCTCTTTTCTAAGGATAGGCCAGTGTTGGAGGATGGCCTGGAGTGAACATATGTGCCTATGCTGGATGACGTAACCTTGGGTTGTAGCAGAGAAAACAAACAGCATGAGGCTAAGCAGCAGGTTGAGAGAGGCCGCATTACTAGAGTCCTCCCCCAGCACAGTTCTGTGGTGCAGCACTACATTGTAGTGATCAAAACTGAGTTTTTGCCAGCTAGCAGCAGGAGGAAGTAAACTCACCTTTTAAAAAAAATGTAACTAAGTTACATCTTCCAAGTCAGTTTTAAAATTAGGTTTTTGATATTTCAAGAGTTCTAGAAGTGAATGTAAATGTGTATGTGTTGCTCTCTCATTATAGTAAAACTCTGAGATAGCTACTGGAGGGACATATTACAGTAGCAGTCTTGAAAGTAAATTTTCTATTTTCTCTGCATCTGTGAGAAGCCCCAGAATGGTGGTGGGATTTGGGGGAAGCCGTGTGGACAGAAGTTCCTTTGGGATGTGTAACAGCTTCTACGTTGTGTTACAGTTTGTTGAAATTGGAATAGTTACAAGTATTGAGGTGAACCACAAACAAGTGGATGTTGCAAAAAAAGGCCAAGAAGTCTGTGTGAAAATAGAACCTATTCCTGGTGAATCGCCTAAAATGTATGGACGACACTTTGAAGCGACAGATATCCTAGTCAGTAAGGTAAAAATTTCCTAGCAGAGACTTGCACTTTTTTAAGGCTGGTGGCGTGTTGGTAACTTGGCTTGAAGTGGCGGTTGAATGTGAAAGCCTGAGGAATTCTAAAATTCTCAGCACTGGACCCACATGCTAGTGGGGCACACTGACTGATTGCATGGCACGTGTAGTACAGCTCAGCTTCTCGCAGAAATCTGGATTTCCTGACTGACATTAGTGGCACTGACATTGACTCTTGCATTAGTACTATTAAGAATGCAAACTTGCATCACCAAAGGAATGAAACACTAACTAAATACATCTTGCATCATCCTTCCTTCTTAGACAGAGGAAATAAGTTAGCTAAGAGCAAAGGCCTGTAGGGGAGAGGCCCGTATGTTCAGTGTGGTGAATGAATGCATACAGTGTTCTGTAGTGCGTCACTTTCTATGTACAGCTTTGCCCAGTTAGCACTCTGGACAGAACTGCCAAGATGTTCAATACTAGCCGCTGAAGTTTGTCTGTTTTTTGGGGGGGCAAGGTATAAACACTGATCATTAATTTACTCTGATCTCAGATTTTTAAAACTACTTCATTTATATTACAGTAAGTACAAAGCCCCATTGTTTTAGGCACTATGCAAACATAGTGAGACAGTCTTTGTCCTAAAGAGCTTCCAATCTAGACAAGATAGGCAAAGGATGGGAGGGGAAACTGAGGCAAAGTGGATTGCCCAGGTAGACAGCAGGTCGGGGCAAAGTTGGTATTAGAACCTTGATTTCCTCACACCTAGCCTGGTGCCCTATTCCCTAGACCACACTACCTTAAATATTTTGGGGAATAATTTCATTAAAACACTTGTGTTTCTAATATTCGTATGTTGTGTACTTGCAGATTAGTCGTCAGTCCATTGATGCCCTGAAGAACTGGTTCAGAGATGAAATGCAGAAGTCTGACTGGCAGCTTATTGTAGAACTGAAGAAAGTGTTTGAAATAATTTAGGCTTTTTTTTTTTTTAAAAAGCAATGGGCAGGCTGGAATATTACTCACTATTCCTGTTCTAAAAACCACCAACGAAGTCAGAGTATTGAAGAGACTGTTGGACTTATGTTTGGGAGGAAAATATGTGGATAAAATGTTTTCCATGAGAAACCAAGAAACTTACACTGGTTTGACAGTGGTCAATTTACATGTCCCCACGGTTCCACTGTGCCTGTTCACCTCTCCCACGGCCCTTCCCTTTTAGTGGCTGCTGTTTTAAAGTTTGCCCTTCCCCACTCCCCTATCAACAAATAAATAAAAATTGAATTTTTATTACAGAACTAAAACTTTCACTTTTATATTGATATCAGTACTGCAGTATTTGATTAACCAAACTTTTGCAGACTTTGGTTCTCGGACATGTTTGATGTAAGAAATACTTCTTTATTTATGCATACCTCTCTCTCCCCCTTTGATTTTCCCCTCCTTTCCCCCCACCACCACCATTCTTCTGCTTTGTGCCTATAGGAATTTTTTTAAAATAGAAAATTAGGTAATCATATATTTCTGTATTTGCTTTGTGTGAAACAATGATGTAAAGCACAGTTGGCCACCTTTAATTGCTTGTACAGTTCATGAAAGTCAACTTAATCTGTAATCATTACAAAGCAGAGCCACAAATAAAGGAAATGGACATATTAGCCCTTTTGTTAAAATTTGTTTCAATAAATAAAGCATCTGTGGATGGGCTGTTCTGTAAAAGTGAAGTTTACAGCTGTAGTACCAACAGATAAGGTAACAGAATTTTACAGGTCCATCATTTTAAAGAAGGAAACCACCAAATATCTCTCCTGTGGTGCTGCCAGACCCCACCCACAAAGGAAAATAAATTGCTGTCAAATAAAATGTTCCTGATTTAGGTTTGATATTAAAAGCACCACACCATGTGCTGTAATGCCAGAGGAGCTCTGGTAGAAATAAGTTTGGATAGAAATTCTGTTTTCTTGACATTATTCAGAATGGGGCTAAGTAGGCATAACAACATGTCCTGATAGGCAGACAAAGCAAACGGGTGCTTTATCTCCAGCGGCTGAGCCAAACTTTTAGGTGTTGCAGCAAAGTTATTGACTGGTTCAACAGCTGGGGACTTGATGGCAGATTCACCCAGCACAAAATGCACTTGCTAATTTTGACTGTGTGGTAGCTGGAAATAAGTCTGTATGGTGGGTAGCCTTGATTTTGTTCCCCTTAAAAAGGGCATTCAGCTTACAGTGTTAGATCTAGCCTAGATCAGCTAGAATTTCTTTCAGCTGTTGCTGAGTATATAGGCTTTACATGGTGTCAAACACTCAGCTAAAATCTTATAAATGGAAATAAAGTAAATGAGAATGTGACTTGTACACCTGTATTATCAGCATATTCCTAAAACTAACTTGAAATATGGAATCCCACATTCCAGTGTGACATTCACTGTTCAGAGGAAAGCTGCTATGTAACCAACTGTTAACCTGAATAAACAAATTCTGGTGGCAGTAATGTAGGTCTAAGCCATCTTTTGCTTTTAACTGTGATTTTGGATCTCAGTATTATAAGCCACTCACATTTTTGCTAGTGGAGCTATTTTCTGAAGATCGAGAGCTCTGGCTTGATTAGTGCCCCCTCCCCCCACTTTTTTTTGTGTGTGTGTGTGTAAGGGTTGGAGGAACTCCCATTACAGGGCATCTTGGTTTAACTACTGTTCCCTGACACATTTTGGACTATAATGGCTTGAACAAAAATGCATTCTTGATCAGTGGACCCAGAAGCAAGCACCTTTTAATAAAGAGTGCAACACCACCAATAAAAAAAAGACCTGCAGGACTTTCAAGCTCACTTCTGAAAAGGGCTACATTTCATTATGGTCTGAGCTTGATAAAATTAAGATCTGTTCACCTCTCAGTCCAGTGGTTCTCCCACTGATGTCATTGGGTGTGTTTTCATAAACATGAGTATAGACTTACCTTTACGGGGGGGGAAGGAAGTGGAACCCTGTTACTAATCTGTTCTGTAACCATTGTTCTTTGACATGTGTTGCCACCTGTCCATTCCACTCTTGGTATATGTGGGCCTAGTGCACTAGCATAGGAAATGTTTCCCTCACTGGTACCTGTAGGGGTAGTGAATGCACCTTGTGCTGCTCTGCAATGTTATAAAGGAGTAGAGACACCCTTGATCCCTCTCAGTTCCTTACCAGACAGCATTAGATATGCATAGGAAGGAGGGTGGGTCATGGAATGGACATGTGCAACAGCCCAAAACACAGTTACAAGTTAGTAACCATTTTTTCTTTGGTTACACATATCCATTCCACTTCTGGATAGACTGAAGGAACACACATAAATCTGGCATCCTTCTAGATTGCTGGGAGATGGCTTAATGAGAAGCAAAATTAGGTACTAAAGATCAAGTTGCAACTCTACAACTGTCTGGTATAGGTGCTTGAGGTAGAAAGGTTGCAGCAGCTGAGATTTTTTTAAATGAGCTAGCACCTTGGTCAGGAGAGTTAAATTGGCTATGGCATAGTAGCACATACACCTATACAAAAGGAAATCCACAATGAAAGTCAATGTCACCACACACACTAGAGCCCAGATAGGGAGTCTGGCCCAGGACTCTCAAGATGGACTTGGCAGAAAGTCACTGATTTCTGTCCTACGCTGTGTTTGTGTTGACTAATAAACCTGTTTTACCAGCTGGCTGAGAATTATGTCTGACATGCAGGACCCTCTGGCTTGCCCAGGAGCCCTGCCTGGGCAGACATGCTGAGGGAAGCACACAATGTGGAAGGGGATACTGAATGCTCAAAGGTCAAAGCTGTGTAAGCTTCTTGCCTTGGGGACAGTATGCTCAGAGATAGGAGGCTCCCCCAGAATCCTGAGTGGCTTCATACAGAGTAGTTCCAGAGCATCACGTATGGCGGGCTGTGCTGTCCTTTACATTATTGCACAGCAACGGGCACATGCAGTGTCGTGTCAGATAGCATAGGAGATTTTTTTCCTCAGTGGTAATTGCATCCAGCCTATAACTTTCTCAAAGCTTTGCTCTAGGAACTATTTTGGGGAAGTTCTAGGACTTACATAATACGGGTGGTCAGGCTACATTATCACAATGGTCCCTTCTGGCTTTGGAATTACTGAGTGAGGTTCTTTGGCTTGTGTTACTGCAGGTGGTCAGACTAGATGATCATTATGGACCCTTCATAATCTGTGAAACTATGCTGCAGCAACTGAGCAATGACAATAGTAAATATTTACTAAGCAAAATGCATCATCTGATTGCAATTCAGGGCTGAAAACTAATGCTGCCATTCTTTACATTTAAATAAGCAAATTCATTCCATAGCCATAGATTGTGTTATTTGGGTCAGGTTCCATACAGGTCTGTCATCTTACGCTGGGGTTATGTTCCACTGTCAACACGTAAAGCGAAAACTGCATATAGTCAAAATTAAACTGAGTGTAATGGTGGGTGGAATTGTCCACACTAGAAATTATTTTTGTTTTTGCCAGCTGTGTAAAGCTGAATTCTCACATGTTAAATGCGCATAAGATGTGACAGACCTGTATAAAATGTGTTAATTGTTGCAGTGAACTACCATTTTGTGCTCACTGCATGACTTTCACTCTCCAAACAATGGAAACATCCCCCATAGCTGTTTGGTACCTGTTTTAAGGTAATATACTCCACAACATCCTAAATTTACTGAAAGCCCACAATGGGCACTTCCCACCTAATGAAAAACCTGAGAAGTGATTAGGGTGGGAGCTGAGCTGAGCTTGCCAGGAGCTCTCTCTGTGCCCTTCCAGTTTTTTTCTGAGCTACCCATGCGTGCCTCAGTCTGATCCTTCTCCATCATGGGAAAAGAAGTGAGCAGCAAGGTCCCAAGTATGCTAACCCTGGATTTTCTGAATGGGGCCACAGAAATCACAGCAGTTTTATGTGCAATGTAGTTAAGAGTGTACTACAGCGTGTATGGGACTTATGCTTTCATACTTTGTGGACCTACAAATTTACAGAACACAGTTTATGCATTAGTTCTATGGGTATTGGCTTTATAATCCCAAAGGCAAGAAAGATAAATTATTCAACCCATGCACTGCCTGTGATTTTAAGCTGTCACAATCACATGTATTCTAGACTACTGTATATAAACAGGTACAATGATTCATGGATTTCTCTCACCGGAATTTTTTGAGAGAACTAAATAAGCGCTTACCACTGCAGAGATTAGTAAAATGACTCAAAGCTACAGCTTTAATGAAGGGTTAGCTATATTCAAACTGAAGCATTGACAAAATGGAATCAGTACAAAAATATACATACAGTTCTTTATTAAACAACTGTAAACACTTCACTGTAAAAATCCATAAAACTTTATAAACAAACATTTTGCAAATAGATTCTATACTACAATAAAAGAATTTTAACACAATTATTTACATGCAATACTGACAAATTTGGCACTTTTTGAAAAGAAATGTACAAAACACTTTTTTGTTTAAAAAGAAATTGAAAATTATAAAAACTCAGAGCCTTACTGTCATGCACTTTGCAAATACCTCACAAGCACTTATGGCCCAGCTGTCGGAGAGCTCCAGGCTCCCACCAAGCTCTTTATTACAAGTTAAGTTCAGATAACTTTTAATGTGCTTCCATAAGTTTGTTGTAAAACCACCTGAACATTGTCAAGAATGAAGTCAAATGCCATATTCCAAACTGATTCCACAGACTGCTGCATTAACCTGGGGGGGAAAAAAAGGTAGCCATGCTTAGAACAATACAACAGGTCGCTGTGTATTCCCAGGTCGCTGTGTATTACAGTACGGGATGCTTTGGGAAGAGTTTGTTTCCAATATCCAAAGAGAAAAGATCCCACTAGACATGAATCACAGCAGCTCAATATAAACAGTGTTTGGATTAGTTTTTAGTAAAACAACACACACAAAAATATGTTAAAAGATCATTATTAAGAATTAATAATTATGCCAGAATTATGTCGGTACAACCTTAATTTGGCCCCTTTACGCATATTCATTACAATATATTCTTTAATTATATGATTGCTGAATTAAAGTTGCACAAGATCTTAATTCTGGCATTTCCTAACTTCGGAGTTTACTACCTTAAGAATGTTCTCTTAACGTAGTTTTTGTGTGTGTAATTTGCTATGTTTTAAAAAAAGCAAAACCAACCCCTGAAATTCCATGATGTGGCATCATACTGACACACCCCTGTGGCTCATCAGCAGCATTGAAACTTTTAGATCCACATAGACCTCTGCCACTGAGCTAACTGGATAACTGATAGGAGTGGTATAAGGACCAGCAAGAAGGAGAAGGAGAGACCTTGCTAATGGGTTTCACAAATATTTGCTGAGACAGAGGAATGGTGACTAATTCAGGGATCCTGTGTTCCATTCCAAACTCTACAGTGGAGTGTACACTAATGAACATAGAGTGTACCCATTTACCCCAAGCTCGACACCTTCTGCACCATCCCTTCCAACCTGCCTCTATTCCATCACTGACTCCTCATCCCATTCCATTCTCCTCACCTAGTTAGTCCCAATCTCCACTCCCCAAGTTCCTGACCCAGTCTCATTGCCCAGTAAATTCTAGTCCCATCTTTCCCCACCCAGCCTCCACTTCCTGATCTCCCCCTCCCCCCGCCCTCATCTCCATTATGCAGCCTAGTCTCCATCCCCAGCCTTCTCATTCAATCTCACTATCCTCACCTCCCTCTGCTCCTTGGCCCAGTGTCTTTGCCCAGTCAGTCTCAGTTCTCTCCCTGTGCCCCAGCTCCTTGTCAGATTTGTCTCCCTTCTGCCCACCTCCTTCAACCTGTCCCACTGGTTTCCAGCTCCAGATTCCTCATCCAAGCTCAGTTTTGCCGCCATCCAGTCTTCTTACCCATTCCCCTCCTCAGACCTAGCTTCCTTGCCCAGCCAGTCCCAGCCCCCCTTGCTAGCTTCCAGTCCCAGTCTCCACTCCCCATCTGTCTCAATTTATTCCCCAAACTCTCCCCCACAATGCCAGATGTCCGTCTTTTATCCCCTCTGCATTTGAATCAGATGGCTTCCTCCTCCCTTCTGCCAACAGGAGGTCACAGAATGCCCAGAAGTGAGTCTCCCTGTTCTCAGTTCCAGTGCCCACTCTGGCCCAAAGCAGCCATTATGGGGAAAGTCCAGTTTTGGAGAGTCCCTAGTCTGGAGAGGGCTTGCTCAGTTGCTCTGTGGGGCAACACATGCACATTCTGATCACACATAGGAGCTGTGAGAGGCTCAAGCATGCTCAATGAGGATGGAAGCCCCAGAGAATTTAGCTAAGCGCTAGCAAGTCTCTAATGAGCACCTGTGAACTCTGCTTTTTCAAAGGCTTTATAACTTGTCCATATTTGGGCAGATTTAAGCAGACTAGAGCTTAAAAAAGTTGGCAGAATATTTTCAACACTGAAGAAAAACTTATTTTCCCCTAGCCTTGGTCTTGGAAACAGATGAACTCTTTTGGTTGAATTTTCCATTCTGTCCCAGGCTGAATTTTTTTGGAAAATTTCAGCCTGAATGGTAAGTCTGTCAAAGTTATAAGCAACTGAAAACAGGGTCTTATAATGGGAAGCATCAGGCAACCTTAATAACAGGGGTGTCACTAGTCCAGTCTATAATCAATACAACCTTAGGTAATGCTCAGGCTGTTCTGAAGTTCAGAGGATTATATTTCTCCAAATATAAAGAACTTCCCAGCAACTTTTACAAATTTCAGCATTTTTACCATTAGGATTACAATTTATAGATAGTCACCAGTTAACCTGTTTCTCTCACAACCTTACCCCCAATAATGAAGGAATTTAAATGGTAAATTTCTGGATTCTGACACTTCCCTCACACCAAGACATTTGGGCTGCATCTTTTTTCCTACAAGAATGCAATTCAACTTTTACACAGAGCTCTGGCGTGTTGCATTGGGTGCTTGGCTGGAGGCTGAAACACCAGTGCAAGGGCAGAAGAGGCATGACCAAACCCTGGAGATCCATGGACTAGTACAAGCTGCCTCTCTAGTATTTAAAATCCAGGAAGAAAGGTGTAAACTAAAGGTTAGGACCCAGAAAGCTGTCCAAAAATCAAACAGAGAGATTCTGTGCTGCATCTGTAAGAGATGCTGAAAAGAACTCAGAGCCTGGAGGAGGGAGCAGCCCCAAAGTGACTAAAACTTTCTGATTCTGGGCTGCTACAGGGGTCAGAGTGGCTTTCAGTGCAACTTAGATAGCCCTGGAGGGCTGCCTAAATTACAGCAGCCTGTACGTGGGCAAGCTGCAGCTCTATCCCATGGTTTTCCCACTCCCTGTCACTCTCCGGTATACTCCCTATGTGAGGATTTGCAAAGAAGTCCTTTAGGACATCCTGAAGATGTCTTCCTCAGATCCTCTGCAGATGAAATTCCCCCAGGTCAGAATCAGGGCTCTTTATCTTGCTCTGTCTCCTTTACCTGGTATACAGGGGCCAGAGAATGTCACTAGCTGTTTTTCCTTAAACTTAATGGGATTTTATGCCAGTTTTGTTAAGAATTTTATATAAAATACCCATCTACTCTCTTAATTTCACAGTATAACTAATTAATTTACAAAGGCCCAATGACAATAACACACAGGCATAACTGAATAAAATTGTGCATTTCTTTGTGCCTATCTGATGATCTCAGCCCTGTGAAGTAGGTATTATTTCAATTTACAGGTGGAAAAGCTGAGGCACTATTAAGTGACTTGCTCAAATCACAGAGTTAATCAGTGGGAAATCCACTTCAGGTGACTCTCAAGCAGTTCAATCCAGAGGTGGATTAGAGTTTCCCTGAAAAAAGATTCAAGATCATCACATCTGAACCTGGCATTATCTCTAGAATGTTGAGATATGGCACAAAGAGGTGCAAAGACATGTACCGATGACCAAACTTGCAGCTCTGGATAGGCACTTGAGCTAGAAAAAGCTGCAGAAGCCACCTGCAGTCGCGTCGACTGTGATACCACTCGGCTTAGTGGAGACACATTGGCAATGTCGTGGCATAAACATATGCAGGAGGAAATGCATGGCGAGATTCTGAATTGAGACTAGAAGTTCCTTCATCCTGTCCGTAACTGTCACGAACAGTTGTGAGGATGACCTGAATGGTTTAGTCCTGTTCAAGTAAAAAGACAAGACTCTCTCTGAACATACAACGTACGGAATCTCACTTCAACCTTACGAGCATCGGGCTTGGGAAAGAAAGTTTGTAAGTATATTGCCTGATTGATGTGGAAATGAGACACTTTAGTCACAAATTTTGGATGTGATCGTAAGTATACTTAGTACTTATAAAAGACTGTGTAAGGTGGGACAGCTACCAGGTCTCGCAATTCTTCAACACTCATCACAGAGATAATCACCACTAAAAAGGCTACTTTCATCAAAAGATGAAGCAATGAACATGTAGCCAGCAGTTCAAAGTGGGGACTCACCAACCTTGTTAACATCAGATTTAATCCTCAAGGGGGACAGGTTCCTTTACTTAGG